CAAACACTTATCCCACATAGGAAAGTTAGGAAACTTTGGTGTGGTTTATAAGGTGGAAGTTTGGAATTGGGTTTGGGCCCCAAGGGGTACCAATAGTCTTTGGAAGGGGGAAGACCTATATCCTATTGGGTTCGATCATAAACTCACATGCGCGCGCCGCCGCCCGTCTGATCGGCTGACTCGGCACGGCACAAAATTTATTTAAAATTTTGGGCCAAATTGTAAATAATCAAATTTTTGGGTACATAATGAAATTTAAAATTTTGGCTTATTCCGGGTGATTTTTTGGGCCAAATTGTAAATAATCAAATTCTTGGGTACAAAATTTATTTAAATTTTGGCTTATTCCGGGTGTTTTATTTTCTTGTAACAGTCGACTGTTTCGACTGTTTACCGACCAAACAGTCGACTGTTTACCGACCAAACAGTCGACTGTTTACCGACCAAACAGTCGACTGTTTACCGACCAAACAGTCGACTGTTTACCGACCAAACAGTCGACTGTTTACCGACCAAACAGTCGACTGTTTACCGACCAAACAGTCGACTGTTTACCGACCAAACAGTCGACCAAACAGTCGACTGTCAGCCGACTGTTAACCGACTTAACAGACACGACTTTTAAGAACAGTATGTCTGTTCGGATTTTTGAGGCTTGTCTGAAAGGTGATGACTGTTCGAATGGCCACGAACAAGTCTATAAATAGCCAGCCTTTCTACCAGAAAATTTACACCATTTTCATTGCAAACTTTCTGTGCTTTGAATCTCATTTCCCTCTCTCTCGTTCTGATATTGTCTCGAAGTCAAAAACACTTCGTTGAGTTCGTTGGAACTCCTACAGACTGCAGTGCTGCTTCCGTAGGAGACGAAAAATTCGTTCTATCTTGGGAAACGATTGCTGGACGCCTTTAGCACCATTGAAGGCAGCAAATTCGTTTTAAGGACACGTCGTGAAGTCGGTGGGCTCGAATTACAATTTCTGATCCTGCTGATCAATTCCTGCATTCAGGTAATTCTGTCCGATTGTTTTCGAAGGAGTGAATTCAAACTCTAGAAATAACAAATCTTTGCAAGTTCATCCAAAACAAAGCGAACGCCTTCTGATCAGGAGGATGTAGATAAAAGGCCAATAGCCTGATGTCCATTTCTACGATATAAGCTTTAATCAACATCTCTTTATGTCACTATAGGTTAAGAATTATTCTTCTTGTACAATCGGGATTGACAATGTACTCACAGGAAGGGGAATCCACGATTTTTTTATTCAACGTGGGCCTCCTCCAATGTGTCTAGTTGTCAACCGAGATTGTAGTGCAACTGATAGGTTAATCTATATATGATATTTTTTAAAAGGACTAACCTTATATAGTACAAGCTCCTCGCTACATAGATTAATATTGCTTGTGCTCATCTTAAACTTATTTTCAAGCTTAAATTTTAACTTGTCTTTATTTGACCTAATTTACTCGAGATGATAATTCCTTCTTGTAATCTTTAAACTATGAAATTATGAATAAGACGTAAAATGACTATTATACTACGATTTTGAGCAAAGTCCTTTGTGGTTAAACTAGTATGTCACCACCACCTTGGAATTAAGAAAAAAATTGACACCATTATTGATCTGAGTGGGATGAATAAAAAAGCCAAAAAAATCCTGCCCCATCCCCCCAATTACGGGGTTTGTCAGAAAGTGTGGCAGCATAGCAGAATTGTGGACTTAATCACCAACAAGGACGGTAATTGGACCTTCAACCACGTGCATTACTTTCCCGTTTTCAGGGTCAGAGATGGACAGGCAAACAGCAGGCTAAAATTCAAAAAACATTTTCAGAAAGTTTTTGAATTTAGGCCAGACCAAGTGAAAAAATTTTGAACTTTCGGCTAAAACAGGTAGCTTAAGGGAGGGGGGGGGGGCTTAAAGAGATCTTGAGAATTGATTTTTTGATCGTTAAAAAAAAAGTGGGATTCACCTGTGAGAGAAAAAATCAAAAATTACGATTGAAAAATTAATTTTTTTGGGTAAAAAATCTCTCCAAAGCAGAGTGTAATACTGCAAAAACAGTGAATAAATTTAAAAGTTCGAATTTTTTAACCAATCAACTAAAAAAACTGCAAAATTGGGACGTTAGTCTTCAAAGGTAGATTAAAATATTTCAGATTCTAATTTCACACAATTCATATAGACCACTCACAGCTGGAATGTGATGGATTTTTTTGACACTTTTTTATTCATATGGAATTCACATTCATATGAGATTTCTATATACTTTCTATGAAGGGGGGGG